AAATCCAAGTGAGTAATTTCATAGCTAAACTATTAAAAAAAAGAAAAATTCCTTGTGGTATCCAATCGTAATTGCGATGTTTTATCCACGGCGACTGAAGACCTTCAATAACCAATCCCTTATCTTGCCAACAACCCGTTTCCACATATCTTTCATACCGTCAGCGCCTCTCATCCTTCGGGTGGCCTCTGCGTGGGCCGGTATCGGGGGGTACGAATGTCCATTATTGGCAAGACTCGAAACCTCCGCAGACTATTGATAGTAAGCTTCCATTTATCTTATGTATACTTGAATGCTCACCATACGACGCGGAATCTCTACAGAATCTGGTGCTGGACTGTGACTATGAACTGGTATCAAACATACTTCTCAGTGCCAGTCCTCTAACTGCATCGGTATTTGGAGCGTACCTGAAGGTGGGGTATGGACGTGTATGATCTCGTCAGAGCTATTATAACTGGTACTCTCCATTGATTCTGATTTGTTTGTCAGTTACTGCCTGCTGAGGGTTATGATATGCTTACCACTAGTACGCCGCATTACTTCCACGTTGTTATTGAAGGAGCCTCTGATATGAATGTGAATGGTTATTGTTGTGGCTGGCGCCGATGTCATCTTGCACAGTTTCAAGGAGCACCTTCAGGACTTGGTCGTTAAACGTTCAAACGTTCAAGCCTTCAATGTACAGCCAAAAACACGTTGTACTATGATGGCTTATGTAATGTAACAAGGGAAGTAGTACACCCTCAGAACACAGAAAATTGAATAGCTCGCTCCCTCATCGGAAAAAGTGATAAGTTTTGGGGCTAGCAAGAGGAACTAATGACTTTGTAAGGCCAAATTTGTTCGCTTTTGACGAGCATCAGTATTTGGTAATTTGTCACAAAATGTCACTCACATTCCTCCTTTCCATCTTCTTCACGAGTGAGGTTTTTGAGAGATTGACAGCTGGGACACTTAAGCTTTGTTATGTTGTGATATGCGAACATCTTTGCAATAAAGGTAATGCTTACAGTTGGTGATATTCTTCCAACCTCTCTTCGCTCAAGGCCGCTTTCGATTATCATTATTGAGTTTTCAGGTCGAACGCGCGAGCTGGGTCTGCGTCGACACCAACTAAAGTCTCTGTATACAAAATATTTAGAGGAGGTTCAGGTTAGTTTAAAGCAAATGATATCTTGCCGCCTAAAGCCTTTCCTACGTTCTGGATGTTCTTCTCCTTCTAGTTATTCGTGCTTTGGCTTGATCGGTAAGCGCGCTTTCGAGAGCTATCTCGTGAATGCTTTGTTCTTGACGTAGGCCGCCCAGGTCCTTGTCCTTCTTGACGATAGTCCGCGATTTGTCTTCAATTAACCATATCGATTAATAAACAAGATAGGTTCCAGGATGAGTTGATCCTAGAACATGTTTAGCAAGCAGACCCTGGTGATGATTACACTTACCTGTTCTTGACATAACACATCAAATCTGTCGGCCTCAGATTTCTGTTCCCTATTATACTGCTTGATTTCTCCTGCAATTCCTCTCCGCTTCGTAAAGTTGAAAGTAGCATTCTCAGTGGCTCGTTCTTGAGCTTCTCTTGCTGCTTCGTATTCCGAAGCAAGTTCTCATGATCCAGTGAGACGAGAGAGTTCCCGAGGTGATTGGGACGTGACGGCTTCCACGCCACCTTGAGGTACAAGAAATATCTTGACTTTGACGAGGATGTTGGGAGAGAGACCAGGGCTGCATTGTAAGCCACGTATGTGAACCGTTTTATCGTTCAACTTGTACTCAGACACGCCGGCAGTTGATTGATATCTTGAAGCTCATAAGTCAATGAGGAAGCATAAAATGCTAACTTACATTTTGTTAAAACCTCCAACCCTTCTACCTCAGCATCAACAAAGAGTGCCATTACCCAGGGCCTTCTTCGCCGTTCCCTCGCCCCAGCTCACTGTCTTCCATTTTTCCTTCCACCAGAGCTGTCCCATCCAATCGAGTCGATTCCATTCCCCGCTAGTCGTCTTCCTCCTCAGTATACCGAGTTCTGCAGTTGAGCAATTCGCGGTTACGCGCTCTTTACTCCTAAAAACAAAGAATATTGCATCCATCAAGTTCGACTTTCCAGCACCGATAGCTGAATGTATGGGTCGATTGACTGGTATCCTCTGCGTTGAAAACGAACTTGGTGAGCTCTGCATCGCGTTGGAGGGTTTAAAAAAACACACCTGTATAAACTATCAGATCTAACCCTTATATTGAAGTTGCGATCTGGATCTGAAAAGTTATCTGCAGTCCAGTTTTCGTGGTCATGAGTTTACAACTTTGGGGTCACATGCTGACCAAACATCGTCGCTCTCATGGCATGTGGCTAGGGGAAAACAGGAATAATAGCACTTCTTATGCACACTCAGTTTGTCCTTGAAGAAAGTGGGAAATGACGGCTCAATTGAATGGATTTGTCCGTGTTGTGGTTTTTATTCTTGCGTAATATACCGTCTCATAGAGAATGCTTGATTACGAGTCCCAGCCACCATGTAACGCTTGGCAACTCCCGTGGTCTTATTTTAGATTATCTTCTATTTCCATCCTCATCGCGCCGGTCACCTAATTATAATATATTATTCATTTATAAAGGCCGCTACTTTTGTACAATCCAAATAGGGCTACGAATTTGTTAAAGGGATAAGCAATAAAACTGACAGAGTTATTTAGTTTTGAGTTGAATGAAATGGCGCATGTCTAAAAAGAATAATTAAGGGTCCATAATCTAATCTAATTTATGCTATCCTTACCTTGTCCTTACCTGTTGAGTATGCCTGCATCGACATAATCATGGCCATACTCGTATGGTCGTCAGGGTGTTGACACACTCAATTACAACACCTGAACAGGTTATCCTTGCAGATCATCTTCAGGTGTTTTTGTTGCATGTTAGAATTTCGGCCCATGATCTATGATAGTACTAAACTAATGAATTCTTTGAATGAAATCGAAGACACTACGAAAATCACCCTTAGGTTAGGGCCACTTTTGGAAAATTTCTCCAGCCGATTTGGCGCGTTGTACAAAAGTAGCGGTCTCTAGGCAGCCGGCACCATACTTCTCATCACCCTCACGAGAGATGATTGTCAGGGTATATGAAAGTTAAATGCAGATTTCTTTGTTTTTATGACATCACGATCGATCTGCAAAGGGCTCACTAAAGGAGGTACAAGGTCTTCTAACAGAATGGCTCTCACTGCCAGTTCTCGAGGTTCTCGAATGTACCCCTTTCTGATCCCATTGCGTTTGTCTTATACACGAGTGAAAAGCCGGCAGGGTTCAATACCTTACCATATTGTCTTCAGTACATGAGTCCGTGGATATGCAACCCTCTCACATTTCGTTACTGGCTACCCATCGACTGCTAGAGCCCAGTACCAAATATCTAAAACCTGGAACTTAGAGATACATGGGGAAAAAAGAAGATATACGTGGTTCGTCACACTCCCCAAAAGGAGAAGTAAGACATATGAGCAGATGAATGACAAAATGTGCCGCAGATTAGCCCTAAGTATAACTGAGAACGCGCTACCGCGTGGAGAGAAAAAGATCCCCCATCCCTAATCATCAACCCTGTTTGGATGTGTCGCACATCTGTAATTGTCGACACACCTGAAGGGGGGGCACACAGCTGTGTCGTTCATCTATCCTATGCGTCGCTGAACCGATTTGGGGAGTGTGCCGATGTTCGTATACACGGGGAAAAAATACCTGATTTTTGGATCTTCCGCCGAGATCACGCTCTATAGATATTCCGAAAATCTCCCGGAGGCTGATAGCCTGATACTATTAAAATTCCCATATTCAATGGAAGCCCAACATAATATTCAGCTTGTCCCAGCCTCCCAGGCTCCTAAAACCAACGCGCTGGTATCGCTCGTAGAAGCTTCATCCGAAAGTGGGGACTGTTATCATATCGTATCTCTTTCGTAAAGGCAAATCCAGCTAGGCTCGCGGATGTGGTGGAAAATAGTAAAATTAAGAAAAAAAGAAAAAAAGAAGAGGAGGAAGAAAAGGATGACTCATAGGCATTACTTATGTGGGTTCCCATCTGAAGCTCATCTGAGCGCCAAGTAATACGGATATTTACCAGTTTCTGGTACAATAGGATCCTTAAATTAAAGAATTATTTACTCAATGGCTCACATGAACAGGACGAGCAAGACAAATTCAATGCTTCATTGACTACATGCTCACGTACACAATATCTCAGTGCGAGCCTCGATCAAGTGTTATGACATTATCTCTGGATTAATTCCTTGGCAAGGAATTTCCAAAAAAAGGTCTGACCAACCCAGACCAACCCGTGTGACTACGGCTCTGTAGGCAAGCTCGAGGTGATGCGCTGTAGGACCCCTGGCAATACCAGAAAATGCCAGATCCCCTCAATCCGGACAAGATTGGATGAATTTTGGGTAAAAAAAAAACCTTTTTGAAGGGGGATGTTCTGAAATGTTCAAATCTGAGGTCATCAGGCGTGGGAATTTATTTTTTGTCCGGACAAAAGCCCCATTTTCGGGATCTGGCATTTTCTGGTATTGCCCGGGGTCCTTGCGCTGTGCTTGAGCTCAGGTGAGCTTTTTAAAATGAAATGTGGGACAAAACGGCAAGCCTGGGAGTAATACATAGCTTGATGGACACACTGTGAATTGAAGCCAATACCTCTCGCAGATAATAATGCAATGCTAAGCGAGCCGCGAGCGTGATAAGGAAGGCGCGGCTTGGGGCGGCCAAAAGGACCGGTCGCTATAATTAGCCTAGAGTAAACTGAATGTATACGGAATATGCTAGTGTGAACATGATCAAAATATTATTCAAGGAGCAGCTTGCCTGCAGGACGTAACCGTGTCGTAAGTAGTCATATTTATATACACACAGCCTGTAGAATCATACGGCAAAAAGTTACCTACAAGATAATTAGGACAAGACGAGCATAGCAAAGCAAGGGCATGTGAAATTTAACAGTAGATACGATATCCTAGGAGAGACTATTATCAGCCAAGATTCTGATAAGGGTTGTATGCGACCGTGACGTCGTCATTTGGGAATCCACTGGCAAAGGTCCCGTCATGCAGTGACATCATGGTGAAATAGTCCATTTCGATATTTGCGGTGGGTGGAATTGTCATTGGCGCGTGTTGGACGTATAGCTGAGGGATCGAGTGCGGGTCGTAAAATGTGGGTCGGTAAGGGTTGACACAGGGGAAGTCATTGTTTGTTGCATATCCGTACGACAGGTACGGATTGTTTGCCGTAAAGAAAATATTATTCAAGTCCCCCTGACTAGAGTTGAAATATTCCCTCCGGAAAAAGGGATAGAGCCGGGGGAAACTGGTAGTTGGAGGGTAGGAAGGCCCAGTCTCATAATATGTATCTTGAGTCGCGTTGTCAGTATACCCAGAAATAGTAGGGACCGATACCGGAATTTGGGAGTGAAGAAGAATATTGTTTGAGGGCAGGATGGGCATAAAATTCGACGCTGAGTCCTGGGATGGAATAATGGCATCGCTTACATGCGAGGCCAAGGGTACATTCGATCCGGACGTGGGTGAAGGGCAAGTACTAGGTTAAACCGCTAGCTTTGAGCATCTATAGGTAAATTCGGGGAATTCGACCTACTACGCTGTCTGTGTCGCGTCGCTGTTATTAAAATCGGCCAACCTGACTCCATTATGCAACATCTATGCAGCAGGTAAGTAAATTCAAGTTATATATGCAAAGAGAGGTTGCTTGCCTCTACACCAGACTCAATCAGCAATTTAGGAATTTTCCTTTGCTTGAGAACTCTCCTTGGCTCCGAGAATTTCCTTCTTGGCTTATTGGACTCTGAAGGCCTCATCTTGGAACTTTTTGTTGGAGACATCGTATCTATGTCTACGAGGGTTGGAAATGAAAGTATCGAAAGGCATCTGCTTTTAAGAGAAGAGGGTCTCCGAAATGAACCTTTCGAAAGTCGCAATGGTATTTTTGTTCCGTCAACTATGGATCCAGAGAGTTGACATATAAAAGCCGAACATCATGATGGTTCCCAATTCCCGTGGATCGGCTGCGTGGCAAGGTTCAAGTTCAAGGTATATCTCCTCAAACGTTGGTTGCACTTATGTTAATATACTCGGAGGAAGTGAGAATTCTAATTTGGGTAAATTCAAGATTGGTACTAAGTATTAAAGCGCTAAAGCACGAAACTCGGACAATCAAAACAGTGTTACAGAAATAGCTCAGGTACATTGACTTGTAGCCTGATTCATGGAAGCACGCACCCCCATCAAAGAAAAGAAGCTCACATCTGATTTTCGGCACTTCCTAGATGTTAGGAGGTTGGCTAAGTGAAACTGATATGAATACAAGGAGAATGACTAAGTTGGACTGCAAACATACAAATCGACAACATGACCTTGCTTTTTGAGAGCCGAAACCACTTCCTCAAGGCACATTTACCAGCAGGTGTGGGAGGTATCGTGCCTATTATCGATGTTTAGCGAACTACTTTAGATATACGGTCATGTAAAATCAATTACACCATTCTTCCAAATAACTCCCCATTTCAGTTTGCGACCTTCGTCCCGAAGTTGCCAAGATTGATGTAATTTGATCTCACTTGGGGCAAAAACCCAGGTATTCCGACTGAAACAAGGGCCTCTGATCTATGAAAAGGAAAGGGCTGTGAGGGCGGGAGGGTCCAAGTAGCATAATAAATCGAGGACAGATTGTGTCGAGTCACAGAAAAGGGATAATAAACATTTCTATTGGAGCGAGGAGACATTCTGCAAATAAAGGGACTGCCAGGTAGGCGAAGGAAAGATAGAAAGGGAGAATTATGTTGAGGTTGTGGCGGTGGCGGTAAATAAAAGAAAATTAACACACAACCCAAAGTTCTATGTTCACACTCGGTTCCTGTCAGAAGTTTGTCAAAAAAGTAAAATGCAACACCGAAAATGTGAGAAGACATTGTATGACCGTAGGGCCGCGGGTTCGCCAAAATGACGTGCTTCGAAAATTCATGCAAGTCCTCGAGGCCTTGAGCTTCCTCGAGATTACCTGCCAATCCGTAAACTTTCCAATCCATCTGCCCACATCAGAAATCGTCCGGCGCTAGCCCTTAAACTCCACACTCCAGAGGAATCCTGACACTACCACCTATATCTGTCCCAATCTTGATCTAATGTAGACAAATCGGGTTTCTTGCGTTACGGCGACATCGCCGCCTTTGGAATGAGATCAACGCTTTTGGTGACGCCAAATTCTAGGTTGATAGAGAGTTTGTTGAACACGAATAGTAATAAAAAGGGAAAATGACTGCTTGCCTTCTGTTGCCGTCATAAAATTCAATGACAGATCTTCGGGGTCACCTGCATGGTGCTTAAACTAGGTAAGATGGGGGAAGACAAGATGGGTTGGATCGGGTAGATGAGATGGTGCAAGATGGAAGTGGGGTGTGGGGCAGCAATGAGGTTCTGGATCATAGGCTGTACCACAGTGAACAACAGCGAATAAGCTTCCAAACATAAGTTTGGCGGGAAATACATACTATGAATACACACCTATACCGTGCACGACTAGACTTTTCTTTCTATACTGGGACGGGCGCCCAAGCCAACGGGCCCTATCAGCATCAATTCTGGAGATTAGATTATTCAACTTGTCTTCCATCGCATCGCGGGAGTGACCACAATCGACACGCAGGCACGAAGTGACGCCATAGACTTTTTTTTGACACTCCGGCGAGTCTGCCGGTTAAATGCCGCTGGGGTTACGCTAGTAATTTGGTTAGGATCCTGGTTAGTGTTAACGTTAAGGGTTCATGTTAGTGATTTTTGCTCAGGTTAGTGGTAGGCTTAGTGGGCAGGTATACGTCCTTTTCGCACGGTAGCGCGGTCTTGGGTAGGTGGTTCGGTGGTTAGAACTTCGGGCGGTGTGTCGCGTCTCACAATTTCCCTATTTGGTGTGTTGATTGTCCTCTTCGCATCGACGCGTACGGACCATCAAATACACGAAATCCGTAAAACAAAAGTCGCCCCGATAGCCGACGACGAACCTAAGACGGCAGACATAACGAGTGACCGCATGTTCTTAGGTGCTTTCGTGATCAAGGCTTTAAGATCTCCCTAATAGGATAACTTAGGACGTATCTAATGTGGAGATAAGTAGTAAATCTGACAATTTGATAGGAAAATAAAGCGATTGCTTATGATCGGGTTTGGATCCAAGTGTTTGAGGAGAGACCTGAGGGCAAAGGGCTGCATTGGAACCGCTGGATTGGTCTAGATATTGATTAAATGAGAGATGTGGGTGAAAGAAAAACCGAGAATATTCACCCTGTACATGTAGTGTTGCACCGCTGGGAGAGGATGAAGTGAAGTTTACATACGCCAAGATAATACGAGGCCGGTTACTTACTAGCAAATCATAGCAGCCGCTCCAGTGAAGAAGCCTAACGTGATCTTTTTCAGTGTACTAAAGTTCAACTCCATACGGCGTAGAAAACTACAAACAAATGCCGTATATCATTTGAAAAAGAATAAAGACGAAAAAGGCGTACGATTAAATCCCACACGGATCCAAATTCGACAAAGCCTAAACCTCGTTAGGAAGTCCATGCGTCGACAGCGTCGCCACTTGCGATGTCAAGTTGATTATAAGTCAACCCTGTGAATAGCCAACACTCAGTATTTCTGAACGTATAAGCAAAAAGCCATTCTATGATACTTACAATAAATGAGATGCCGGCAAAAAAAAAACTCCACAAGCTTTGACCCTACCTCGAACCTCGTCTACCCACTTATCATCCCACGTCGTCCAGACAAGTCTATTGGCCTGTTTCATTGAAACCCTCTGAATAGGCATCGATTTGCAGGACTTTACCTTTTCGGAATGAGCCATAGTGATTCGTCCAATGAGTGCGCCGACATTCATGAAGAGGTAGAAGTACTGTTAATTAGAGAAATTGAGTGGTGTATATCATTTATATCGTTTGGAAACACACCATATACACTCTAGAAACTGTTAGAGGACAATAACCGTTTCACCACTCTTCGTCACGACAACAATCCTCAGCAACCAAAGGGCAAAATATCACAGCGTTTTGTTTTGTAGATTCTCAGTCCAAGTTGAGTCCGAGTTGTTTTTTTCTCGTCGAAGCCTTGTTCTTTTCGAACTGAATTAGTATGCATCTTGCCGTCTTTTCTTCACGAATGAGAGTTTTGAGAGATTGACGTTCATCGACAGCTAGGACACTTGAGGAAGCTTTGCTATGTTATGATATGCGAACATCTTTGCAATAGAGGTGATGCTTACAATTGACGATATTCTTCCAACTCTTTTCGCTCAAGGCCTCTTTCGATATCATTGTTTCAGTTTTCGCGTCGAATGCGCGAGCTGGGTCTCCGTCGACACCAACTCAGGTCTCTGTATACAAAATATTTAGAGAAGGCTCAGGTTAGTTTAAAGTAGATGATACCTTACCATCTAGAGCCTTTTCTACATTCTGGACATTCTTCTCCTTCCGCATCAGTGGTTCGTGCTTTGGCTTGATCGGGAGGCACGCTTTCGGAGCCTTCTCGTAAATGTTTTGTTCTTGACGTAGGCCGCCCAGGTCCTTGTTCTCCTTGACGATAGTCCGCGGTTTGTCTTCAATTAACCATATCGATTAATAAACAAGATAGGTTCCAGGATGAGTTGATCCCTAGAACATGTTCAGCAAGCAGAAAATCGCTGGCGATGATTACACTTACCTGTTCTTGACACAGTTCCCTATTATACTGCTTGATTTCTCCCGCAATTCCTCTCCGCTTCGTAAAGTTGAGAGCGGCATTCTCAGTGGCTCGTTCTTGAGCTTCTTTTGCTGTCTCGTATTCTGGAGCAGATTATAATGATCCAGTTATGAGACAAGAGTGTTTCCGAGGTGATTGGGACCCGACGGCCTTCCACGCCACCTTGAAATACAAGAAGTATTTTGACTTTGGCGAGGATATTGTGAGAGAGACGAGGGCTGCATTGTAAGCCACGTATGTGAACTGTTTTATCGTTCAACTTACACTCGGATGCTCCAGCAGTTGATATCTTGAAGCTCATAAGTCAATGAGGACGCACGCAGAATTTGAGCTGACTTACATTTGGTTAAAACCACCATTCCTTCTGTTCAGCATCAACAAAGAGTGCAGGGCCTTCTTCGCCGTTCCCTCGCCCCAGCTCACCGTCTTCCACTTTCCCCTCCACTGGAGCTGTTCCATCCTCGATCCCATTCCCCACTAGTCGCCTTCTTCCTCAGTATACCAAGTCCTTCAGCTGAGCAATCCGCAATTACGCGTTCTTTACTCCTAAAACAAAGAATATTGCATCCATCAAGTTCGACTTTCCAGCACCGATCACTGAGTGTATGGGCCGATTGACTGGTGTCCTCTGCGTTGAAAACGAACTTGGTGAGCCCTGCATCACGTTGGAGGGGTTTTTTTTTAAAAAAAAACCAGTTCTAACCCTTGTATTAAAGTTGTGGTCTGGATCTCATGTTGAACTAAACACAACCACTTCGTGTTGTCGCGCTCAGAACTCAGGAATCATCGTTATCCAATGTCCACACATGACAACGCCTCCAAGACTGAGATGTTTCATTTCTTTTCACCTTCTGGAATCGCTTTATGTCGAAATCCCACCAAAGACGCCTCCTATACAACCCACATGATTATTCTGTAGAAACTGTAGTGAAACTCTTGCATGGGATCGATGTCATCGCTCTCATGGCATGTGGCCCGGGGAAAACGGGAAAACAATATAGGTGAGAACGACTGTCTTCCTGCCGCATTTAGGTCTGTCTAGGGGAGACTATGTTTCACCACTCTTCGTTTACGACAACAAACCAACCTTGTTCTCTTATATTGTCAGCAACCAAAGGCGAAATATTTGCCTTGAACAACCCAGTCGTTAAAGTCTTGATCAATAAAAACCGAAAACAGGATTCTGATTCTCGTACCAACTGATTT